GCCCCCCCAAGCCACTCACTGTCCCCATGCCGTGTTTCAGGAGGGTGTTGGTGAACCCTCGGTTGCCGATGCAGATGGGGGTAACGTAGCTGTTGAAGCTCAGCGGCTGATCCAGCTCCAGGAGGGCGATGTCGTTGTGGTGCTTGTGGATCGTGGCGTTGTAGGTGTGGTGGTGAAGGATTTTCACCACTTGACGCCGCTGCTCTGTGTTGTCGTTCTCGTTGGTGTTGTATTCACCTGCAGAGACAAGCATGGGGGGGCTTCATGGCCGGACCAGTGACCATGCCCTGATGATGCCACCCGACGTGAGACCACCACTGTGATTGCAAAGGGCTGAGCTCTGAACACCACAGTCCTTGGGCTGCTTTGAGACAGGGGCCAGCGAGGCTGCTTGCTCTGCTCCAAACGGTGTTGGAGGTTCCCCCGTGGCAGCGGCCCCTCGGTCCCAGCAGCCAGCAGGACCTGGACCCTCACGTGTGACACCGGGCCATGCGCCAGCCAATCACGTGTCAAGGGCCCAGATGTTTTTGTCAGGGTTAGTACCAGAGTGGCAGTTTTGGGGATTTCGTACTCTCAAAGCAATGCAAGGGGGTGTTGCCCCAGCACCGACTTGGGAAAGCCTCTAGAATGAAAAACCTTCGCTTGCCACAAATTGTGTATTAGAGAAAAAAAGCCTCACCTTCCCTCTTCTAAAAGCGTGGGGTGGAAAGGGGCTGTGAATTGCCCCCGCCCGATGCTCACAGGTGTCCCTGGGTCCCTGCTGCCCGCCCAGCTCAGCTCAGCTGCCGCCCATTGCCGGCTCCGGCGACTGAGGTGCTGCCGGCTTGTGACCTGCCCTCCCGGCTTGTGTAACAGGTAGAGGGAAGGGAAAAGGTTCTGCAGCCTCGGGCCGGCAAACGGGCAGTGTCTGCAGTCGAATCCCCTCTCCTGCGTTTGAATTGCCTGTGCTGAAGGCTCCGGAGCAGGATGACTTTGCCCGCTCCCTTTCTGGCAGCCCAAGAGGCTCAGGGTGCGTTTAACCCCTGCTTTGCTGTGATCTCCAGAATATACCATCTCCTCTAAGCAATATCTGCAGCACTCCTGGCCCTGGCAGTGTCCTGTGTCTGCTGCATCTGCCTGTGAGGAGCTCCACGGAGCCCGACGAGAGAGGTGAGGCAGCTTTCTGTGTTCGTGTTAATGCTGGTGCCTGCGGAAGGCAGG